TGATTAAGAAAATAACTTTTTTATTTCGTTCCTTTATCTTAAAAAATGTAGGGGTGAATTTTTCTCTCAGATACACAGAGACAACAACTCCTACTGACTTCAGTGAGAGCTATATGCGTGTTTTCAGAGGAAGGGTTTGACCTGTTGTAACTTAATCTATTACTCTTCTTTGTGATTAGTTGTCGTGATTATCATGTGTTTTATAATCTCTAACTAAAACAGAACTTGATGACTCTTAAAATTTTTAAATGGTTTCTTTTAACTTTTTCTCTTCCCAAAGCTGAAAATTGCAGCAGGGTGCTTACATTGCCTTTGAATTATTGTAAAATAAAAGAAGAAATATTTTAAAGAAGGTACTATTTGAAACACTTAAGGAACAGCTAAACATGTATTTTCACATATTATGGAGATTGGATGAGGATAAGATGATGGAAAAGTTAAGTGTCCTCAGATCAGCAAATACTACAGCAACTGAGTAGCAGGAAAAAATCCCACAGAGAAAAATCTCAATTTATTCATGCAGTTGTGTTAAAACAGTTTTTAAGGTTTTTCTTTTTATCTTTAGTTGGTGCAACCTCATGTTAAAAAGACCTTTTAATTAAAATGGTATAAGTGAAAAGGTAATCGAATGTAGCCATTATACATATTTCTTGCTTTACTTTGTGTGTGACTCTATTGAAATAAATACATAAATCTGCACTGGGAAATCGGCACAGCATTTGCCAGGTTTGCTAAATTCTGTTGCTGTTTTTTTCTAACAAGTTATCTGCCGTGTTATCGGTTTTAATTTCTAGCTAGTTTCTGAATGAAAGACACATTAACCTAGAAGCCCTGCAATGACATAATTTCTTTTGAATTCCTATAGTTGATATGCTGTGAGTGACAAGATAGCATAAAAACTTTGTTCTGATGCGATATTGTTAAGTTCCTTGTTGACAAGGGCAATTGTCATTCCGTAGTTCTGTACAGAACAGATGACAATGAGCTTCCTCTTGCTGCCTTCTTGTTTTCTGGTGTAATGTTATTTTTTTAAAAAATGCTCAGTTACAATTAGGCCAGTTATTAAAATACAGTCAGTCATTTCCTTTGACAACATGTTGGCGTTGATGTAACACAATAGAATTCGGTGGAAAGGTTATTCCTATTTCTCTGGCTGCTGTCAGTACACACGAGCATATTACATTCTTCGGCTTTCTGGAAATGCTCTGTTTGACTAGGTGCATGGGAACAGGAAGTCTGAGGTTATACATAGTATGTTTGCTTGGTTTCAGACTGTATGATGCAAGGTCTGTTTCCTAGAAGACATTGTGTACTGTATAGTATTTTGTAGACTATTTTATTAAATCAACTAAACTTAAATGAACTCAGGTTGATAAGAAATGATTGTCAGTTCTGAGGGTTTTCATAATCACTTCAGTGGTATCAATCTTAAGAACTTATATGGCTGTCATGACTACAGTATCTGTGCACCTCACAGACTTGAATGTATTTATCTTCACAACAGTCTATGAGGTAGGACAGTACTATTATCCCCATTTTACAGATAGTGAGGCTGTGGCTCAGTATCCAAAGTGGTTTTCCCAGGTCACACAGGATGTTCGTGGCAAAGCAGGAAATAATATCCTGGTTTTTGCAGTCACAGGCTAGCAACTAGCCACTGGACATCCTTCATCCCAGGATCACAAGTCAACACTCAGCTGTACCAGATTGTGGGCAATTGCCGTATGTGTGTGTGTGTGAAATAAAAATAGAGGTATTGTAGGTCATCTGGCTCTTTAGCATAGTCATAGTTCTGAAGTCACAACATCTTTTTCAGACATGAGGTTTACAAATCTATCAGTCCCTGGCCTGTTTCAAATACCCACTTTGGATTTAACTACACCTCTACCCCGATATAACACAAATTCGGCTATAACGCGGTAAAGCAGCGCTCTCGGGGGCGGGGCTGTGCGCTCCGGCAGATCAGCGCGTCATCGTGTCTGACTCCGACACGCTGCTCTGAGCGGCATGTTAAGGGTGCCAGGCCAAGGCCAAGGGGTTGGATAAGGGGCAGAGGGTCGGGGGGGGGGGGGGGGTTGAATGGTTTGGAGGTTCTGGGGGCAGGGCATTCAGGGGATGGGGAACAGGGGCGTTGGATAGGGTATGGGAGTCCTGGGGGGCCTGTTGGGGGGCAGGGGTGTGGATAGGGGTTGGGGTTTGTCAGGGGACAGGGAGCAGGGGGATGGGTAGGGGGTGGAGTCCTGGGGGTGATTACGGACGGTGGGGGTCTCTGGAGGGGGTGGTCAGGGGACAAGGAGCAGGGGGGCTTAGATGGGGCTGGGGTCTTGGGAGGGGTGGTTAGGGGCGGGGGTCTCTGGAGGGGGTAGTCAGGGGACAAGGAGTGGGGGGGTTAGATGGGTTGGAGGTTCTGAAGGGTCAGTCAGGGGGCGGGAAGTGACTATTGATAACGGAAATGCTCAAGGCCAAAGCAAGTTCGATATAACGCGGTTTCTCCTATAACGCGGTAAGATTTTTTGGCTCCTGAGGACCGTGTTATATCGGGGTAGAGGTGTATACCCTTAAGCACTCTGTTCACGTGACTTGTGTCTGTTCAGGCAAGAATGGGGTCTATATTTTTGAAGAATGAGGCCAGCCTTCCAAAATTCAGTTCACCCACTCTATTTTTAAATGGGTGACTGATACATCGTCATTATTTTATTTTTATTTTTCTGATAATGAGTGGTGAGTAGATATTGCAGCATTGCCAACCCCAGGCATTCAAAAATCATGAGTCAGGCCCCAAACAGTCAAGATAGTGGCTTAAAAGTAATGAGATTTTTTTTTTAATTGCATTCTTTTAATTTGCCTTTAATTTGCCGCTAGGGTATGCATGATTCATATTTTCAGGCTGTTCTCCCAGCCATGATTTCTAGAAAAATTTGTAGTAAAAGCTGAGATTCTCACAAAAATACTCCAGGATTTGGGGCTTGAAGAAAATACCAAATATCATGAAACTTGAAATAAAATCATGAAAATTGATAACACTGATTTTATGCCTATGTTGGTAAACTTCCTGACAGTTTTGCAAAGAAAGGATCTTGATGTTTTACACATGCACAATATCACTCCTGCTGAGAGATTGTACTTGTTTTTTACTTTGGATCATAACATTCAAAACTGGGGAATATCTTTTTAATAATTTAATATTTAAATCTTTTCCCAGATAAATGATGAAGTGGTCCAAAGAGAGAAATACTTGCCGAGAGAAAAAGAAAAGTGAAGTTGACATAAACACTGATACAGTCAAATCCTATAAAAGTAGTCGGAGGGTGTGTACTATAAACTTACAGTTTTCAGTTACAAGAAATATGAGAAGTCCCATTTTTAATAACCTGAAACAAATGGTCACAATCTGCAAGATATGTATCGTTAGTACATTTTGCTTGAAATAGTGTTCAGAAGGGACTGCAAGCAAGCTCATGGCTGGATAGCCATACAAGTGTCCCATCTCCATTCCCAGAACGGCAGAATAGATATTTGACACATCTCTTTTTTATTTTACAAGTCAGAACTCTGGATCCTTTCCCTTGTTTAGCCTCTGCATATTTTTAATGTTTGGGTTCTTTATCTTGATATTTTTACTAGTATTTATTATCCCTGGTGGTGTACAAAATGTACCACACATGTTTTGGGGCAAACTTTTATTCCGATTTAATTCATTTTATGAAAATCTGGGTTAAAAAATAAATGTTGGCATATATTTGAATACAAAACAGTCACTTGCTGTTCATTATTTTAAAAAACAAAGCCTTTTCTATCTTTTTCTAGCTTTTGAAATGTTACATACTAAAAAACCAATTTGTTCCACTTTAGAATGTTCAGAAAAGTCAGTGTGTTTTTATTCACACATGCAGATTGTATACAATTAAAATATCCATTATAAGTAGTTAATATTTCCATGTCAAAAGTAATTGTAGGTTCTTTAGATTGTTTGTTTGAATAGAAATGCCTAAATTGAAGGGGCAGAGAGGGGACTGATATTATTTTTTATTTTATTATTTAGATTTAAAATTAGACACCTGTTCCAGGCTATAGGCACCATAACATAATTAATGATACAATGAATACAATTAAAATAAATCTAACATGAATTAGCTATCCCATTGTAAAATCTTAGTGGACACAAGTCCTTGTAGTTTTAACACAGGGTAAACTAGGTGAAGTCATCCGCAGCTAATTGTATACTGTTGACCTCTCCTAGCTACTTTGTGGTAAAAACTACACTAGGATTTTTCAGCATGATACTTAATGTACATTATTATCCTGCTGGGGGACCTTCCCCCACACACACATTTTTTTGCTGTGAGGACATAGCTTTAGCCTAACTTGAGTGAGAACAGCCACGCTCTGAAATAATACTTGAGCTGCACAGAGTGATTGGATTAGTTATCACAGAGTGGTCATGTCAGCAGCTGACGTTTTGTGTTAACTTGAGCTCTAGCCTATGCCCCCTGACAGGCCAGCGAACTCACGTTTAAAAACACCAACACACTGAAGTTAAGGGATTTTGTATGTGGATGACACTTAAGTAAAGGGCAACACTCAGTTTATAATTCTAATTAACTCTGCAGAGACATCAAGCTGATAGGCATGTGATTGAGGCAGCTGGGTAGAAGCTTGTTCTGCTCCAGCCCATGCTGTACCTGTTCTGTGGATAAGCAGAGGAATATGATTTCCAAGGCTCTTATCAGTTTGGCATATTCACTGGTGCTAACTTGACTTAGTACTTTTTGATTCAGATTAAATACAGGACTGCATTTATCTGAACCAATTCTCATAAACTGTTCAGATCAATTTTTGTTTTGTGAAGGAAAGGTCTCAGGTCCTCAGATGTAACAAGACACCATGCTGATGAGGACTTTATAAGTACTAGTTAGTACTCATATGTAGGCAAGAATGCTCATCTCTTTCTACTGCTGTAAACTAGTCTGTGCTTTTTTTTTTTTCCCCTTATTCAACAGAATTTAGCCTCCTGGAATCCCTCAAATCCTGAATGCCTCCTGCTTGTTGTGAAAGAGCTCATCCAGCAATATCACCAATTCCAATGCAGCCGATTACGGGAGAGCTCTCGCCTCATGTTTGAATACCAGACTTTACTTGAAGAACCCCAGTATGGAGAGAACATGGAAGTTTATGCTGGCAAAAAGAACAACTGGGTAAGCTATTCAGAACACTTCTGATAAAAGCACAATAAACTAATGCTTTTAGAGTTCCTTTCACTATAGTAATTCTAGCCATTACCTTGTAAAATAGAGCTATTTGTGTGATGTGTGCACACGTACTGTGTGTTTACAGTGGTGAAAAAACCCTGTTTGTCCCCAGCTCACCTCCGCACTCTCCACTCCCTCTTTTGTTCACTGCTTCTATTCCATTGCCTCACTTGAATCTGATTTCCAGGTGAGCAACTGTCTTCAGAGCTGATGGCAGTACATCTGGTTTACAGATGAACTAGTAAATTTGTTGTGAGAATCACATGCTATGTCTGCACTACAAGACTTTTGCTGACATAGTTATTTCAGTTAGGGTATGATGGAATGTGATTTTACTGACATAGCTGGGCTGCCAAAAGCTACTACCATGGACACAGTTACACTGGCAACAGTGCAATTTTGTCAGTATAGCTCTGGCCCCACTAGGAGCACTTTGCCAGTATAACTGTACCAGCAAAGCCTTCTAGTGTGGACATAACCTGGATGTCATTGAAGTTTTCAAATTCCACACCTCCAGGGCCTGGATTTTAGTTTCATTATCTGAACTGCACTATCTGAGGGCTGTAGATAGCACAGGGGTATTTGATTATAATATAGTTATAGGGCACTGTCAACCCCTTAACCCCTTTTCTTACATGTTGTCTGACCACCCTCTTAACATTTACTTGGTCTCATAAGTCCACTCTGCTTTTGTAAGTCACAGTACTGTATCTGGTCAGACCCCTCATTCAGGAAAAAAAATGCTGAATTGAAATGTAGGGAAATCCTTTCACAGTTGTTGTTTGGAAAGCATGCTCTAGAAAATTAGCTCCCTGTACCTACACACACAGCTTAAATATTTTGTGTTTCTAGTCCTTCTAACTTTTGGGCTCAGTCCAACACCCACTGAATGATTTCAGTGGCTAATGGTTTTTGAAGGATTTGTCTTTGGAGTTGAAACACCCTTAGGGGAGGATCTATTAATGGAGATTCTCTATGTCCTCGTAAGGAGGAGAGGACGGAAGATGATAAAATACAGGTAGGATCTGATGAGGAACAGTAAAATGAAAAAAAGTCCCATTCAATTACATCATGTAATGGCAGACAGCTACAAAATGACAAGTTTTTAGAGTACTTATATACCAATGCTAGAAGTCTAAATAATAAGATGGGTGAACTAGAGTGCCTCGTATTGAATGAGGATATTGATATAATAGGCATCACGGATACTTGGTGGAATAAGGTTAATCAATGGGACACAGTAATACCAGGATACAAAATATATCGGAAGGACAGAACAGGTCGTGCTGGTGGGGGTGTGGCACTATATGTGAAAGAAAGCATAGAATCAAATGAAGTAAAAATCTTAAATGAACCAAACTGTACCATAAAATCTCTATGGATAGTAATTCCATGCTCTAGTAATAAGAATATAGCAATAGGGATATATTACAGACCACCTGGGATGGTGATAGTGAAATGCTCAGGGAGATTAGAGAGGCTATTAAAATAAAAAATTCAATAATAATAATGGGGGATTTCAACTATCCTCATATTGACTGGGTACATGTGTAGACAGCTTGGACAGGACAGGATTCAGAGGTAAAGTTTCTTGACACCTTAAATGACTGCTTCTTGGAGCAGCCAGTCCTGGATCCCACAAGAGGATAGGCAATTCTTGATTTAGTCCTAAGTGGAGCACAGGATCTGGTCCAAGAGGTGAATATAGCTGGACCACTTGGTAATAGTGACCATAATATAATTAAATTTAATATCTCTGGGTGGGGAAAACACCACAGCAGCCCAACACTGCAGCATTTAATTCAAAAAGGGGAACTACACAAAAATGAGAAGGTTAGTTAAACAGAAATTAAAAGGTACAAAAGTGAATCTCTGAAAGCTGAATGGAAACTTTTAAAAGACACCATAATAGATTTAAATAATTTAAATGTATACCCCAAATTAAAAAACATAGTAAGAGAACCAAAAAGTGCCACCGTAGTTAAACAACAAAGTAAAAGAAGCAGTGAGAGGCAAAAAGGCATCCTTTAAAAAGTGGAAGTTAAATCCTATTGAGGAAAATAAAAAGGAACATAAACTCTGGGAAATGAAATGTAAAAATATAATTAGGAAGGCCAAAAAGGAATTTGAATAACAGCTAGCCAAAGACTCAAAAAGTAACAGCAAATTTTTTTTTAAGTACGTCAGAAGCAGGAAGCCTGCTAAATAACCAGTGGGGCCATTGGACAATCGAGATGCTAAAGGAGCACTCAAGGACGATAAGGCCATTGCGGAGAAACTAAATTCTTTGCATCGGTCTTCACAGCTGAGGATGTGAGGGAGATTCCCAAACCTGAGTCATTCTTTTTAGGTGACAAATCTGAGGAACTGTCCCAGATTGAGGTGTCATTAGAGGAGGTTTTGGAACAAATGGATAAACTAAACAGTAATAAGTCACCAGGACCAGCTGGTATTCACTGAAGGAATTTAAATGTGAAATTGCAGAACTACTAACTGTAGTCTGTAACCTATCATTTAAATCAGCTTCTGTACCAAATGACTGGAGGATAGCTAATGTGACGCCAATTTTTAAAAAGGGCTCCAGAGGTGATCCCGGCAATTACAGGCCATTAAGCCTTACTTCAGTAACGGGCAAATTAGTTGATTAGTAATTGCAAAATTGTCAGACACATAGATTAACATAATTTGTTGGGGAAGAGTCAACATGATTTTTGTAAAGGGAAATCATGCCTCACCAATCTACTAGAATTCTTTGAGAGGATCAACAAGCATGTGGACAAGGGGGATCCAGTGGATATAGTGTACTTAGATTTTCAGAAAGTCTTTGACAAGGTTCCCCACCAAAGGCTCTTAAGCAAAGTAAGCTGTCATGGGATAAGAGGGAAGGTCCTCTCATGGATTGGTAACTGGTTAAAAGATAGGAAACAAAGAGTAGAAATAAATGGTCAGTTTTCAGAATGGAGAGAGGTAAATAGTGGTGTCCCCTAGGGGTCTATGTTGGGCCTTGTCCTATTCAATATATTCATAAATGATCTGGAAAAAGGGGTAAACAGTGAGGTGGCAAAATTTGCAGATGATACAAAATTGCCCAAGATAGTTAAGTCCCAGGCAGACTTCGAAGTGCTACAAACGGATCTCTCAAAACTGGGTGACTGGACAACAAACTGGCAGATGAAATTCAGAGTTGATAAATGCATGGTAATGCACATTGGAAAACCTAATCCCAACTATACATATAAAATGATGGGGTCTAAATTGGCTGTTACTTTTCAAGAAAGAGATCTTGTGGATAGTTTTTGAAAACATCCACTCAGTGTGCAGCAGCAGTCAAAAAAGTGAACAGAATGTTGGGAATCATTAAGAAAGGGTTAGATAATAAGACAGAAAATACCATATTGCCTCTATATAAATCCATGGTGTGCCCACATCTTGAATACTGCATGCAGATGTGGTCACCCCAAAAAAGATATATTGGAATTGGAAAAGGTTCAGAAAAGGGCAACAAAAATGATTAGGGGTATGGAACGGCTGCCGTACAAGGAGAGATTAATAAGACTGGGACTTTTCAACTTGGAAAAGAGACGACTAAGGGGAGTTATGATAGAGGTCTATAAAATCATGACTGGTGTGGAGAAAGTAAATAAGGAAGTGTTATTTACTCCTTCTCGTAACACAAGAACTAGGAGTCACCAAATGAAATTAATAGGCAGTAAAACAAAAAAAGGAAGTATTTTTTCACACAACAAATATTCAACCTGTGGAACTCTTTGTCATAGGATATTGTGAAGGCCAAGACTATAACAGGATTCAAAAAAGAACTAGATAAGTTCATGGAGGATATGTCCATCAATGGTTCTTAGTCGTAGGGACAGGGATGGTGTCCCTATCCTGTTTGCCAGAAGCTGGGAATGGGTGACTGGGGATGGATCGCTTGATGATTACCTGTTTTGTTCATTCCCTCTGGGGCACCTGGCATTGGCCACTGTTGGTAGACAGGATACTGGGCTAGATGGACCTTTGGTCTGACCCAGTATGGCCGTTCTTATGTTCTAACTTCTTTTTCTGTCTCAATTACAAAAAACGTGTTTAAATAAATTTTGAAGCAAATTCCTCGAGCATTTTAAGAGTTACGTGAGGGTGGAAACATTCAATTTGTTAAACATTAAATAAATTATGGACACATTTATTGTAACTCAGATAAAAATATCTGAATTTTAAAATGTATTTGCTGCTAAAGAGAAGATGTAGGAAAATGAAGACCTTATAGTGTAGATAGAAACCTTGTACATTTCAAACATATTGTGGTCATACAGATAAGAAAAGCATAGAACATAGATGAATCTTGAAAAACTCTCTTAGTGTTGTTAACTATGCACAAATCCCAGCACAAACAGGTGGGCTTAACTTGTCAGGCCCTTAGACATTTATTGTGGAAAGGCCTTTTGGAATAAATTAGTTTTAAGGAGTGCTTTGAGTGTGTCAAAGATGGTCACCAGACGACTTGGGATGTGAAAAGTATTGCTCAGTAAGAAATGCCTGCTATGCTAAGTTTGGAGGGAAACTGAACTTGAATTATAAAAATGCTCTGTGGAATTATTTCTATAGAAATGTTACCAAGTGCATACTTTAATATGTTCTACGTAGAGAGCCTCAGTTCACCTCACACTCTGAGAGAGACACAGATTGCGTGTATGGATGCCCCTCCCTACATTGTGTTAAAGCTGTGTACACAACTACAAGCAATCTTATCTGCACCTACCTGCAAAGACAAACAGCACACACCCTTTCTTTGAGTACATAATATATACCTAGCCCCTACATATGCAAGCACATTCTCATTTACACACCATATGTATGGTACTTGCATTCAGTAGTTTCACATCTTTCTTTTTTCTTCTTCCTTTCCTTTTTTCTGTTTCTGTCCACTTAAAATTTTTCAAACCCCCTGGAAATCATATGCAAAGAACTCTAGTAGTGCAACATGAAAGTGGCACAAAAATGTCAGGAAATGCTGAATTATCACCGAAGAGTCACTCAACCTTAAATTTTCTCCTGTGGGTTATAGGAAAAAGTATTGTATTTGAAAAACAGTATATGATTGAGTAATTAGATACCAGATCTGTAATGCATATGCAAAAAATAAGACCAAGTTAAAACTGAACAAGCATTCACCTGGCCTTTCCTCAGTATATCCTGATTTTTTTGTCCTTAATGTTAGATTAATTAAAGGGGTGTTTTTTTCATGGGTTATACAAAAAAAGACAAACTTCATCACTTTCTTGACATAATGCATGAAATATCCTTACTTTTTGTCTCAGTGGGGTTAAAATCTTTAGGAAATCAGACCAATGTTTATTTCCTTCTAGAAGAATGAGCTTAGTCTTCTCATAGCCAGGTGGGTAAGGCCTCGTTTTAAGGAAGCGTATGAAACAGAAAGGAAATCCTTCCCATTTCCTTTGCGTACACTTGATGCATAAAAACAGCAATGTGTTAGGGAGAGTTTGGCAACTTCTCAGTAGACAACAGTTGCAAAGCAGCCCTCTAGGTCTTACAATTTACATAATCCTAAAGAGAAATTATAGAAAGAACTGGTAAGAGGGTTTTCCTCCACACTGATTTAAATGCTACTTCTGAACCATCTACACTATTTTCAGCTCAGGTTCTCACACCTTAAGATCTCTCCAAGTTTGCTAAGAGTAGAACAAACCGGAAGATGTTGAGAATGAAAGAATCTCTTTCCCTTCCTGATTATGTACAACTTATATGGCACATTCCAGTTACTCTCACAAACAAAGGCTTTACTTACAGAAATCAGTCTTAAAGTTCTCAGTACATTTGTTTACCTTTGAACAAATCCTGCGCCACTGAAGCCAATGGGAGCAAACTTGAGCCCTTTACAGGTAGGAGGATCATTTCATTCCTGAGAGTCAAGGGCGGTCACTTTCTGTTGACAGAAAAGGGCTGCTACCCAGATGTGTGCAGAGGTGGACTACCCTAATGAGAGGATATAGGAATCCCTTCTCCGTGAGAGATCCCCATTTTGCAGTTTGTTATCAAACAGCTCATGAGATTTATGGCATCCTCCAAACTCAAACTATAGCTCTGGTACTTCTAGTTTGTTCTGGAACCCATATCATAGTCCAGTGTGGATTCTAATTTGAACAAAATTTCCTTCACTCATTTCTAATTATTATTAGTTGACAGAGTGAAATTTTCAATATGGATGAATTGTGGCCAAACTAATTTGTGGTCTAAAATGGTAGAAAGCTAAAATTTGGTTTCTAGCCTACAATAACACCAAAAGTTTGCATAAATGTCTATTTAAAAGAAGTAATTTACATTGCCATACAGGTTCTGTAGCTCTCTTTATAAAATAAAATATCTACTAGTCTTCCCCCCCAACCCCCCATTCAGAGACACGATCCCACTTTGGAAATTAATGGCATGAAAAATGTTATTTAACAAGCAAGCACATACCTGAATGATGCGGGAAGAGGAAAACTCTATCCATGCTTTTCTATTTTCCTCCACTAATATAACTTATAAATGTTCTAATATAGTTTTGTCAAAGAAAGATCTTGTACAGTTTGACAGGTAAATGCCCAAAGGATTTTTAAGCCATATTTTAAATCCCTGGAAATAGAGATGTAATCAGTAGATACCTCTTGAAAGAGTAACCTTGTTACATCCCTTTTTTCTCTCAACAAGTCTCTTCAGTTGTAAAAAAGAACATTTCTGTGTATATGTGATTATTCTGTTGCGAGGAAAAATTATTCTTTTTATCTGATATCCTGGTACTTTCACTGTATTTTTTGAGCTTTGTTTTCACTGTAGAAAAAAGTGTTGATGAGATTGGCAGTACTGCAGTCTCTTTAGTTATTAGTGGTAATTAAGCCAGTTCTTCCCAGTTACATTCAGGCAGTCACTATATTAAGTAAGTGTACCATCAAAATACATATAATGAATTTCTTTTTAAAAAAATTAGAGATGTGTGCAAGGCATGCTAATTTCTGATGCATCTAAATGCTGTAGTGGAACACACAAATAGCCAGATTTGCAAAATTGGGGTCTGATTTTCAAAAAAACATGCTCAGTTTCCACTATGACAACTAAACGAAGGGGCAAACTTTTCTCATTATTCTCAGTGGGAGCTACTGAGTGCTGGGCACTTTTGAAAAATCTGAGCAATATATTTAGGTGCCTAAGTGAGAACTGTTGGGTTCTAAACTCTTCAGAAAATCTAGCCCTAAAATTAGATTGTAAACTCTTCAGGGTACTGACTGTTTACCTCTGTGTATGTACAGTATTAAATACAGTAGGGCCCTTGTCCTGATTGGGATGTTTAAGTGAAACCACAATAGAGAGATTGTGTATTACATTGTATTCTGGATGCAATACAGAATAGTAATTCTTTTGCCTGTGATTTTTAAAGTAGAGTCCTTTAAAGACATACCTATTTAGCAGTCAGGATGTAGTTTGTGAAACGTGTCATTGATGACCTTTACATTCCCTCCTTATTATTATAGTTTGAGTTTTCATGAGGTATTTACATTCGTGGGAATAATTTTTGCTACTAGATGTAATCCATTTGTTAAAATACTAGTATGCAAGTTAACTTGTGGCTGCAGAAGCAATGACTTCAACAGTGATGAGTAAAGAGAAGCCATAGGGCCTAGTTTAATCTAATCTAGGTTCTTATATGGTGCCAGCCATTATGCTCTCTAAGGACCTTTTTACCATTGACTCAGTGGGAGCAATGCGCTTAGAGTCTTGGGGTACTTTGCCATATTGCTTATTGTGAAAGCTGTAAATAAATGTTTTGTTTTTTTTTCATTTTCAACAATTACCATTGAAAGCTGTTGCTTAACTCTTCCTCCCCCAGTTGCTAGAAGATATTGCCTTGCTAAATATTTCAGTCTGAATAGGTTCCGCTTGTGACCTTGTCTGCTGTAGATAATAGAGAGTGAGATCACTTTTGCTCTAGGTCTCATTATTTTGTGCTTTCTCCTCAGACTGGTGAATTCTCAGCTCACTTCCTTTTGAAGTTACCAGTGGATTTCAGCAATATTCCCACATACCTTCTCAAGGTAAAATAAGTGACTGTATTGACAGTGCTCATTTTGTGAGAAAGTTTGGACTAGTGAGATGTTCTCAGTAATAATTTTATTTTGAATTTCAGAAATTTAGTTAAGAAGCTGAAAATCAGACTTTTCAAAATGTTTGGTTGGTGGGCTGGAAAAGTGTCAGTAGAGTTACTTTGTATGCATGATTCAATTGTCCTTGCAAATGTGTAACAAATGAAAAAAAATCCCATCCCCCCACACACAAAGTTTTACCCATCAGGATAGGGAGGGAGGGGAGAATCCACCTGGATTAATTGCCTAACAAAACTGACATACTGATTGATTAGATTCCATTTTAAAGACTATGCAGGAGCCTAAGGTTCACTAAATCCATTTTATTATTGTGCTTATTCTGACCCTACATCACTTCTTCCTACTCACCTAAAACTGCAGCCAATTGTGATATAATGATAATGTGGTCTTATCACCAACATGAGAAAGGCAATGCGAGAATGAATTCAAATATAACCTTTAAATCTGTGCAGCTATCAGGATGGAATGGATGGTGGTTTTTGCCTAATTAGCAGCAGTTTGCTGTAGCTGTTTTTCATCACCCCTGTTCTTTGTGGTTTAGGGGCCAACAAGAGGTATGCTGTGTGCACGTGTACTACATGAAAAAAATGGGCGTTCTCTGTAGAGTAGAGTATTTAAATAAGGGCTTGAGGCATTGAAAATGCAGGCACTATTTATAAGAGATTTTCATGTGATTAACTCAAGAAAATATTTGCACTGTACTTTTCTTGAGTCAAGTCTGTGCTTCATTAAACCTTCAGCCTCAATTTACAGTCGACTAACTCTTCGTTATGCACCCTGGGTTATACAACCCAAGCAGGGATGGTGTCTGGCACAATACAGCAGGTCCCCTGGACCTAGCCTTATTGCAAAAATACATATAGTAAAGCAAAATGAAGAACTTGAAAAATGAGTATGAAGTAGAGTTAATTTAGGTCTACTAATTACTTCTCTATTCCAGAACAGCAATACGTTTACCTGGGCACCCCTGTGGATACATGCATGCTTGTATCATTCAGTTGTTTCAAGTAGGCATCTATTTAAGATCATGTGAATATGTATTTAGGAATATTTATAAGCAGTTTATTAAAGCAATAAAATACTGTTTTGGCATAAATATTATCTTTATTTTGGTAAGAGGATATATTTCATCTTCTGTGTTTTTGAACATATATCAAAGTGTATATGATAAATATAACTTCATTACGTATGACACTTTCTATACAGGAGAGAATTCAAAGAACTTTACAGAGTTTTATATATTACTGGTTTGAGAAGTCCCCTCCACTTCCAGAAATGGAAGGGACCCAGATCTGACACTTCTACTGTGGGTTGGGGACAGAACATAAGGCCTTTTGACAGATGGATATGGTTTCTGGAGATTTCTAGTGATCCATGGGGTTGGGGGGCCAAAATGCTGGCCAGTTCCGTGAGGTAGAAGGAGGGAGCAAACCTACAAATGCTGAGACAATTCTAAAGAAACTCTCTGAATGTGAACTCATAGAGCTTAATTTTTCCCAAATTGGCTTTTCTCAAGTAGAGGTCAATTTGTGTAATTAGAATTAAATAGTAGCAGAAGGGGACAGAGAAATTAAGAGGTATAGTGAAGGTCCCAAAAATGTAGTTTTCCTATTGTAAATTTACAGAAGGACTGTGAAATATGATATATAATGCTATTCCATAAATAGTTCTGTGATGCTTCAATAAATTTACTGTGTGGCAAGATTGCGTTTCTTAAACATTAAAGGTAGTTGCTTTCAAATCTCATGTGAAATCAACAAGAGAATGGAGTGCACATAAAGTAGAGTAATAGAAGGATGCTATTTCAGATGTAAGAATTTGTAGAAAAGAAGGCTCTTACATTTACAGTAGTATGTTATAGAGATTGAGAGAAGATTAATGATTAGATAAGTGGAACAGAGACAGACAGGATCCATAAAGTAGAGTTGAACAAGCCCAGAGAGGGAGTTAGAATGAGGAGAGTAGTTTTCCACTAGATCCTGAAATGAATGAGGAGCTTATGGAGATAGTGGAAGAAAGGATGTTTTGGTGCTAGTACTAAGAATAAATATTTATTAGATAGAGATATGCTAGGTTATTGTGTGATATTTTGGAGTGTGTTCTAACATTGGGAATGCTTATTATTCACTTGAAAAACCATAGAAATGTAAGACTAGAAGGGACCTTGATAGGGCATCTAGTCCAGTCCCCTGCACTGAGGCAGGACTAAGTATTACCTAGACTATCCCTGATAGGTGTTTGTTTAACCTGTTCTTAAAAACCTCCAAGGGTGGAGATTCCACCACCTCGCTAGGTAATTTGTTCCAGTTCTTAACTACCCTTACAGTTAGGAAGTTTTTTCCTAGTATCTAACCTAAATCTCTCTTGCTGCAATTTAAGCCCATTACTTCTTGTCCTGTCGTCAGTAGATAAGGAGAACAATTTATCACTTTCCTCTTTATAACAGTCTTTTACGTACTTGACTGTTATCATGTCCTCCCTCAGAGTTCTCTTCTCCAGACTAAACAAACCCAATTTTTTCAATCTTTCCTCATAGGTCATGTTTTCTAGACCTTTGATCCTCTGGAATTTCTCCAATTTTTCCACATCTTTCCTGGACTGTGGAGCCCACCACTGATGCATTGCAAGAACGATATGTGTTTTACATACAGTACCACATTCATCATTACTTTGGCAGTTTTTAGAAAGTGCATTGTTAATTGAATGAGCCCAGTCACCTCCAGAGGGTTCTGAGGTCATTTATGTTCATTGTGTCCACATACTCTAGACTTCCTCCGTTGGTTAAGTGTTGCTACTCCCCCTCATTCTCTCTGTTTACAAAACTGCTTCAGAGGTGAATCATCCTACTTAGGTCTCGCAGAACTTTTTGGAGGAGAATATGAATAGTGGTTAATCCATTTCTCAACAAATCTAGAGCTTGATTGGAATATAATATTCCTAGACAAGTAGCTGATCTATTGCTCAGCCATGTTAGAGTTTAGACGTTCTCTATGCTGCATGTGAGTGCTAAGGGGAAAGAGTCTAAGGGTACCATCTTCCCATTCCATGCAAGCAGCAGGACAGGATCTCTTCATGGGATATTCCCGTGTGCTCTAAATTGGGAACTGCGTACTGCAGGCAAAAGGACACAATTTGCTGGCTTAAAAGCATATCCTACTCTCTGTATGTCCAAGCATGCATGCTTAGTGAATAGCATGCATTAGCTGGTGACTTGATCTGCTCCTTTGGCTGTTCCCTATACCTATACTGTGGAATTGTATCCTTGCAGGCAGGATTCCTAGACCGGAAGCTGCAGTTGTCAGCTTTCTTGTTGATCCTCATCACAGCATGGACAAAGGAGGGATTAGGTGTTTAGAATTTTACGAGCTTGTCTCTACATTTATATTTAAAAGTTGTGGAATGTTGGCTTCTTTGTGACACTTTCCAGGATCAACTCAGAGTCCTATTTTCTATGTTGTTTGCATTAAAAAAATGCTATACATATATTCTCTAAAACAGCGTTTCTCATATGTTTCCACTAGGGCTGTCAATTAATCGCAGTTAACTCACACAATTAACTCAAAAAAATTAATCGCTATTAATCGCAGTTTTAATCTCACTGTTAAACAATAGAATACCAATTGAAATGTATTAAATATTTGAAGGTTTTTCTACATTTTCCTATATATTATATTCTGCATTATAATTGAAATCAAAGTGTATATTATTTTTATTAAAAATATTTGCACTGTAAAAATGATAAACAAAAAAAATTGTATTTTTCAGTTCACCTCATACAAGTACTGTAGTGCAATCACTTTGTCATGAAAGTGCAACTTACAAATGTACATTTTTTTAATTACATAATTACAGTCAAAAACAAAACAGTGTAAAATTTCAGAGCTTACAAGTCCACTCAGTCCTACTTCTCATTCAGCCAATCGCTGACAAAGAAGTTTGTTTACATTTACAGGCGATAATGCTGCCCTCTTCTTATCTACAATGTCACCGGAAAGCGAGAACAGATGTTTGCATGGGATTTTTTTACCCAGCATTGCAAGGTATTTACGTGTCAGATACGCTAAACATTCGTATGCCCCTTCATGCTTCGTTCACCATTCCAGAGGACATACTTCCATGCTGATGACGCTCGTTAAAAAAATTATGCATTAATTAAATTTATGACTGAACTCCTTGGGGGAGAATTGTATGTCCCCTGCTCTATTTTACCCGCATTCTGCCATATATTTCATGTTATAGCAGTCTCAGATGATGACCTAGTATATGTTGTTCATTTTGAGAACACTTTCACTGAAGATTTGACAAAACGCAAAGAAGGTACCAATGTGAGATTTCTAAAGATAACTACAGCACTCGACCCAAGGTTTAAGAATCTGAAGTGCCTTCCAAAATCTGAGAGGGACGAAGTGTGGAGCATGCTTTCATAAGTCTTAAAAGAACAGCACTCCGATGCAGAAACTACAGAACCCAAAGCACCAAAAAATAAAATCAACCTTCTGCTGGTGGCATCTGACTCAGATAATGAAAATGAACATGCATCAGTATGCACTGCTTTGGATTGTTATCGAGCAGACCCCGTCATCAGCATGGATGCATGTCCCCTGTAATGGTGGTTGAAGCATGAAGACACATATGAATCTTTAGCACATGTGGCACGTAAATATCTTGCGACGCCGGCTACAACAGTGCCATGAGAATGCCTGTTCTCACTTTCAGGTGACATTGTAAACAAGAAGCAGACAGCATTCTCTCCTACAAATTGTAACCAAACTTGTTTGTCTGAGCGATTAGCTGAACAAGAAGTAGGACTGAATGGACTTGCAGGCTCTAAAATTTTACACTGTTTTGTTTTTAATGTAGTTTTTTTTTGTACATAAGTCTACATTTGTATATTCAACTTTCATGGTAAAGAGATTACACTACAGTACTTG